CACACACACACACACACGCACGCACGCACGCTCACTCACTCTCCCACACACACACACACACTCCTTTGTACCTTCTGATCCTCTTGCGCCATCATAGCTTCTTGCTCAATCAGCTTCTCCATCATCATCTGCTCCTGTCTTTTCCTCTGTTCATTATCCTCCTCTGCTTGCTGCCAGAGAGAAAACACCCAGCAGTGAGGCATTTGGAAGCTGTGCAACATGAGTGATCAATGCTGTCAGGGTTCATACGACTGAAGAAAGTGAAGCAGACGATGCAATGCTGTGATTGGATGAAGCGAAGCAGGTGATTGGTCGCTTTACCCTGTATGCTTTCACAAAGCGCACAAACACTGGGAAAAATACGGACGGGGGTGTTGTTTTGGAGTTCTCTCCAAAGAATTTCACCACTTCATCAAAGGCATCCTGAGAGAATGAGATACGAAAAGACATAAACGGCATTCAGAATCACGTGAAGTTTAGTTTCTGACTCTTCAAATTTACATTTTTAATAACAATATGATACAGGTGTCATATGATACAGTTTCCCCTTTATATGAATCAAACAGTTTAATCCAAGTCTTCTGAAGAGACATAATTGCTTAATATGATGAACACGTTTAATTTAGGCTTTTATTCATATCTGTATATACATAGAGCTCATCAAATATGGTAAAGCAAAGCTCAGATTAACTTTAAGAAAGTTGTGGAAGTTTAGATTTTAGCCATTTTGCAGCTTATTTTCAATATATGCTCCATTTGTACTGGGGAGGAACTGCTGAGTTTTGAAATGTATATTATGATTTTATGATACTATCAAATGGTAAAGGAAAGCAAGATTCCTCATGATGAGACCCCTTTAACTGAGAGTGAAACCGGTTTATTGAGCTGTGTTTTGGGTGATGTGTTTTGCAGCACCTGAGCGATCTTGGCATCATCCTGAAGTTTTTTGAGTTTATTCTCATGTTGCTGTATGAAATCTCTGAGCAGTGTGTTGTGGCCGTGCATGCTGTACTCTCTCCTCGTCAGATCCATGCCTCTCTGAAGCTCCTTCACGTCTAATAAGACATTCTCCAGAGAGACTACAGAATACACAGACAGAAGTCATTTAGCTGAGATCTGTTCTGTCAAACTTTGACGTTTATTGTAAATATGTGACACTGGACCACAAAACCAGTCATAAGGGTCATTTTTTTCGAAATTGAGATTTATACATCATCTGAAAGATGAATAAATATGCTTTCCATTGATGTGTGGTTTGTTAGGATAGGACTAAGTTTTGATGTAGGAAATTTACAAAATATCTTTATGGAACATGATCTTTACTTAATATCCTAATGATTTTAATGATTT